CTATCAAATTCTTGCAACCTATGATAGCAGATTTTTTGTAAGCCATGTTATGGATATAAAATTTTTACTAAACATTGATATGGGTGTAGGCCTCATTCATGTGGGATCATGTTCATGTGAATATTTGGTATGAATTTTGATAAAAAATTTGAAATCTCTAAATTTTTGTTTTTGAAATAACAAGTCTAATGATGACACTCAAAATGACTGTCAAATTTATTTTTGAGAAAATAACAACACAGTTTAAGTTTAAAAAATAAATTTTAAATAAATAGTAAATTTTATAAATATTAATTGTTAAAGTTTTAAATTTTTTCATGAATTTGTAATTATTTTGAAAAGATATCACTGAAATGTAATTTTTTTTCTTTATTTTTTAGCTTGTTATAGTGTAATAAATAAATAAATAAATAAATAAAAACTCATATTTTAGATATACCACTATAATCATTCTCATGTACAGGGACGAAGCAAAAAAATTGTTTTAAGGAGGGCCAAAATAAGTGTAGTAAAAGAAAGGAAAAAAAAAAAAAATTCCTTTAACAAAAGAGAAATTTTAACATAAGCTTTAAATAAATTTATATCAGTAATTTTTTTAATACTTACTCCAATTATTTCATACAATTTTTTTAAAGCTATATAATTATAATCCTAGCTATTTTAAGGCATTTCATTAATTGATATAAATAAAAATTTTACCCAAGGATTTAACACATCATTAGAGTTGTTGGATGGTAGATGATATTCAAAATAAAAAATGATAACAAGTGTCTCATGGATATAGTTCAATATTGAGATTTGTATAAAAATTATTATGAAAATGATGAAAAGATTAAAAAAATAAAATAAAATAAATGAAAAGTGTTATAAAATGAGTAAAGAGTATAACAAATTTTACCTTTTTGTTTTTTTGTTTTTTCTTATGCTCCTAGGGCTCATGATAGCAGACCAATTTAAAATTTGAAGATGTGAGGGAAAAAAGTCTTGCATGTTTTTGAATGGGAGGAAAGTCCTGAGAGGTCCTCAGTAGTCATCACAGTAACATTTATTGGATACCAAATCCTCATAATTAAAACTACATGGACCCATTAAAAAAATAATAAATAAATAAAAAAAATAAAACTACATGGAAAAAGAAAGTTGGGGAAAAGTTAGTTTTGAAGGACTTTTTAGAGATGCAAAAAGTTCTTGGATTCTTGAATACTCTAGAAAGCTGGATGTAGTAATAAGGCTTGAAGCAGAAATATGGGCTATTTACCGCGGAACAATTATCATTCATGAAAATGATTGGAGAAATGTAGTGATTGAAACAGATTGTTAAGATGCTGTCAAACTCATTAATGAAAGAGCTCACCTAAACTACCCTTATTGTGCTCTGGTGGAAGATATTGAATTTCTTACCTTCTGAATGGACTGCACTATCAAGCACATTTTTTGAGAAACTAATCAATGTGCAGATGCCCTTACTCATATGAGAGAAAACTAGGTGAAAGATTTGAAGATCTATGAAAACTCTCTTATTTTGCTAAGGCCTATTCTAATGGCTAACATAGTTGAAATTGTATATGAGAGGGATTAACCTTCTCCTTTCCTAGTATGTGTTGTTTAACTTTCTTTATTACCTAAAAAAAAACATGTTGTATCCAAAGAGGCCTCTTCTCTTGTTGTGGGTTGGACTTGTAACTCTCTTACACATTACATTTGGGCCTTACAGACCAACTAGCCATATCAATTTCAACACACCCATATATATGTTGTATCCAAAGAGGCCTCTTCTCTTATTGTGGGTTGGACTTGTAACTCTCTTACACACTACATTTGGGCCTTACAGACCAACTAGCCATATCAATTTGGGGCATTCTATTTGAACTCAAAAAATATCTTTGTACGTCCAATTTAAATTTATAAATTTTATATCCTATTGTGAATTTACTAATAAGGACAATTTATATTAAACCCTAATATATATATATATATATATATATATTTTTTTTTCATGATATATCCCGATCCATTATTCCTATTCAAATCTTTACATCTTCTTCCTCAAGTGATCAAAATTAGTTTGTCTTCTTCTTCTTCTTCTTCTTCTTCTTCTTCTTTCTCACTCCAAAACTCCAATCCACCTTAACAAAACTCACCATAATCATTAACATCATTGTTTTTTATTATTTTGAAACCCTAAACCCTAGAAGAAAGTTTGAACAATCAAACAATGGAGAAAAGTGATAATCAAGATAATATTTTGAAGTAACCCATCAAAGAGAAGGTAAGCATTCATATAAAAATCATAATATAATTATTAATTTATGTATTTTTTCACATGTCCCATTATAATGTTAAATCTTTCAATTTTCACAATCATATAAATAGCATTATAGCTTCTCCAAGTCGCAACAGAAGCAAGGTTTTCCAATTGTGAATGCCATATTCTTTCAAGGAAGTAAAACTCAAGACAATAACGGAATCAAATGATATGTATCTAAGTTTATATTTTAGTAGTTACTTAAATTTATAGTATTTTGATTTCTAGTATATAGATCCTATAATCTTACATCTATTTGCTGCAGCACCTTTCAATAATTTTTTGTTTTCATTTGTTTTATTTTTTGGTCATGTTACTCTTTTTTTTCTGAGACCTATATGCTGTGACACCTTTCTATATGCTGCCAACCTTTTGGATTTCAATGGTTAAGGTTAAAAAAAAAAAAAATGTACATCTAGTTTCTCACAATTTCCATTCAGATTAAGTTTATTTATCAATTTTCGTTGCATTCAAATTTATGTATTAGTTTGTAATCAAATATTTTAATATTTGGTTTCATTTTATCAATTTTTTTTTTATTTTTTTTTTATTTTTTATACATAAAATCCTTGTCTTCTTGGTGGCTTATTATTTCTTTTTGATATGCAACTTTCATTTCTGGTGTACTTGCTTGAAAATTTACTCCAAATAGGACAATCAATTAGAAGAGATATACTTGTCCTCTTCCTTTTACTTTCTTGTTTCTTGTTTCTTGAATTTTTTATTTTTATTTTTTGATTTTGTCTGCTATTTTCATGCATCAAAATATGGAAACCTTGTGCTTATAGGCACCTAAGTTCCTCTTTGCAGTTCATACGATTTAAATTACATCATAGTTACTGTAATGTGGCCAACTTGTTTGAGGAAACAATGCAGTAGTGGTTCAATTAATTTTCTAGTTGCATGAATGTATTTATCAATTAGTTTGTTCATTCAAGTTGAGAGTGCCATGTACTTGTACTCTTGACATATTTACTGCTTCATAGAATCTTGTTGGATGCTCTTGTGCTGAGATACTCTGAAACAACAGAATGATATAACTAAAATGTTTCCATGCTTCATAGAATCTTCTTGGACGCCATTTTAAGCGAGTTTTTTTGGTGAACTGCTGTGGAATTTTTCCAATATGTAGTCGTATGTGTCACCTGAATTGTGACATAAAATGAGATCTATTTGAATTCAAATTAAGGGAGATATCTTTTTTTCCCCCAAACTCAGACAGATTCTGACCCACTGTTAATATTATTTACATTTAAAATCAGTTCCAAATATAGGTCCTGTTTGGTAGAGCTTATTTCCTCTTTATTTCAGCTTTTAGCTTAATTTAAGCTATTTTGATGTGTTTAGTTCACCTTAACAATACAGCTTATAACTTTTTGTAAGTCAAAAATCAACTTATTCTTTGAGTGGGAGAGGAGAAGCTTAATTTATAAGTCAAAAATCAGCTTGTGTTCATAGCTATAAGCTATAAGCTATTAAGTTATAAATTATAATCACTTTTTCACGGCTCTACCAAACGGGGCCATAGAATCAAGAAGGTGGACCTTTGCCAAAACAAAATAAGCTTCTTTTAAAAATGGGGGCCCTATTAAGGTGCACAAATAGAGTATTCTATTGAACTGGTAAATCTCAATTCATTTTGCACTCATTTGTTTTTTTGACATGACTTAGTTGATTTATCATCGTGAAAACTCCATGGATACTTCAAACAGTATATATCTTGTTTTCCATATTTAAACTGAAATGGTTGCTGATGCAGGAGACATAATGGGGAATTCTTGTTGAAAGGAACTTCAATCCCAATCAGCAGCCAGGAAATTCAGCCCCAAAGGCAGCTTCAAACTCCAGCATCATCCTGTTTTTTGGATCTTGAAACCAAACACTCTAGGAGCATAACTAACATTACTTGTTGGCATTTCAACATTGTATTGTAATACTTCAAAATACGGTTTTTGTATATTTTAATTCTTATCTTTTATATTAATACCCTATTATATATATTGTTCCTTTAAATATTATTTTTCCGCTAATCAAGCAGAAGTTACATTGGCATGAATGTTGGTTTTGGTTCTTAAATGAGCTTACAGCTGATATTGGAAGTCTTGGTTGTTATGGCTGCTCTAAATTTGATTGCAAAAATTAGATATCATAAAGAGATACCCAAGAATAAATTATTAAACAGTTCATAGTGAGAGATTGCAATGGAAAACCAAGCAATGGAAAAAATAACCTCACAAAATATATCAGCAAGTGTTTGAAAATGCAAAGCCGAACACTTACTGGATATAACACAAACAAGAATTGGCTTCCACAACAATGCAATAAATCAAATAAGTAATAAAATAAATTATTTCTGTCCAAATAACTCAAAGAAACACTATCACTCAAGTACTATGACAAAAAAAAAGCTAATCAATGAAGTTGAAATTAACATCAATTTAACATGGACAAATTTCTCAATCAATGTCAATGGTCTCAAATGTTTCTTTTGTAGCAACATTTTATTCACGATTTCCTTGAAATGAGTAATTCGTTTATCATATGGACTTTCCCATCCTGCAATACAACTGTAGCGATACCTTCGCCAATTGCTCGCTATTGGAGGAATAGGGTGGTCTTGCTCCATAAACAACTACAAACAACAACAAAATAAAGTTATACATTATTGTTGGTTGATAACAACATAGCAATTGAATCACGGGTATGCCTCAACAAAGTGGTTTTCGTTCACGAAACCAATGGATATCTCTGTGCGATCAAGTGGTGGCAATGGGTCTGATCTTAGTGGTAGGAATGCAAGGCACTGTTGTGCTGAGAAATGGCAAAAGACAATATTATAGGATGATCTAATCAGATGCCCCATATTTGGCATTGTCATCCAATATTCTGTTCGTGCTGGCTTTTCATGAAAGTGTGTCAAACTATGAGCAAGCTCCTCAATCCTTTTAAATGACCTGTAAAGCTTTGTATATAAATCATTGTAAGTGTGCAACACTAGAAACATGTCATGTCTTACTTTAACCCAATGATCTTCATGATGGCCAATCAAACCAGCAATCGATCAAAATCCATAATGTCCATAAGGACTTACATCCTTCACATGCTTAATGTATGGCCTTATACACTGTGGGAATGCATCAATGTATGAAGAATGTTGTACTTGTCTTGTTTGGTACACCTACAGAAAAATGTCATTAATTATATTTGACCAAGTAAAAAATATTGAACTTACATTGTATTACAATACCACAAATTCATATACCTTTTCTTTGGTAGATTTTTTTTTTTTTGACAAATTCTTGTGTACCTTTTTATGAATGTGATTGTGTAGAGGCACTGCCATGTCTAGATTCAGCCAATTCAAAAGCACATGGGTTACGTTTTGTGGATACATTAACCTTCCGATGACCACGAGGTCTTGGATTGGGCTTTAACTTTGGCTCAGTGAGAAATGTGCTATCCGGACTCACAATCTCTCTCAATTTCTTTAAAATCTCAAGTCTCACACTAGTTTTACTAGAAAAAAAAACTTCTTAATAACCAACTTTACTTCTGGAATACAAGTTAACTCCAATTTATCTTTATTAGGCAATTTGACAATATCAAGTGTCCTCCAATGTGCATGTACTGTCTCAAGTGGAATAGGAAGTAATTGTCTTATATAATAAGCAATCTCATGTGCACAAGGCAAACCATGGGTATGCCGAATGACATAAGCACATGCTGAAGAATCAATTCCAATGGATTCTGCTCTCTTTGTCTCTGCTAATATGCGTTCCAAAGCACATATGGATACATTACCCCGAAGCTGGACAAATTCAGAAGGAGTAAAATTGTGTTGGACAACTATCAAACTCTTCTGGAATGAAGCCTTGATGGCAGTGTGTGGTAACTTAAGCAAATTATGTATCTTACTCTAACAAGTTTCAAAACTCCCTTGACTAGATTCAAGTTGTTTCTTTAGTGATGAATGTGCACTCTCAGCCCTAATCAAATAAAAGTTTTAAAGATTATCAAGTTCATATACATATAAGTACAAATTGAGTTTATGTAATTGCTAAATTATTTACCTATTCGTTGTAGCATTCCCATAGTGCATGCATGAATTTGTCCACGATGCAACAAATTTCTCCTTGTATTGCTTCGACCATGTTTGAGTAACATAATCAAGTGCCTCTGGATATGCACTAAACTCTTTGTGCAGTGTGCTAAGGTGTTCATGGTATTCATCTTTAGACGAAGAGAGGATTAACAATTTCCATGAAGAGTTAAACTTTTCCCACGTGTCTTTACTATCAAACATCTTCTTCCACTTAGCCAACACATTCTTATTTATATACCATCGACACAACAAGTGTTTGGAACTAGAAAATACCACATCAATGGCATTCATAAATGCAAGCTCTCTATCTGTGACAATAACCTCAGGAAGAATATTCTCATCCATAAGACCACATAATATATTCAAAGCCTATACATAGTTATCGGTACGCTCGAATTGTAAATATCCTGAAGTTATTAAAAATGTCATATTTGTGGAAGTCACACGTACAATCTCAAGCATGGGAAGACCATACCTGTTGGTCTTATACGTACAGTCCATAATCAAGACACGTGGAAATGCTCGAAACAAATCCAAACTGAATAGATGAGCCCAAAGGAGGTCAGTGACAACCATAGTATTTCGTTCATATCTATGCCATTCAATATATTCATGCTTTGCTAATTTTCCCAACAGTTGTTGCATCTGTGATCTTCTGGGTTTCTCTTTCACTTTAAATTTGTGACATACATTATAAATTGTCTTCATGGTTATTACATTCAACGGATTCCTCTGTTTCAACGTAACTGAAATATCTTTTGGTCTCACAATACTCTTAGACATATCCACCAACAATTCATTTTCTTGGTGTGATAATCTCCCCAAATATGAATGCCCTTCAAGATTATCCGCAGCTGGATGATTATGCACTCCACATACTACATGCAACATCCAATCATCCGTAGCTGGATGAGAAGTTAAGTACTTCTCACCCTTTAGCAAGAATGGACAATCACACTTTTTGGTCCCGGTCATCCTAACATTCTCATCATGAGAATAAACTTTCACCTTCTTTTTCTGTCTATAGTTTCCACTCCTCTCGCACGCTAGTTTAATTCTTGGTGTCCAACGACCGCCACCAGAATCTGAATATTTCACAATTATAGCAAAACCATTTTTCTTGCCAACATTGCGTGCCCAATCAATCATTGCTTCTCTGCTTTGAAATATCTACATTAAACATATTAGCTTATAGTTAGTACAAATATAAATATAAGGATTAATAAAAGAAGTAATTAACAATAGTAATCCTACCTCATATGTGGTAAATTCACTAGTGTAGTTTAACACACATTCAGCATGCTCCATATTCTCCAAAATGGAATTCTCTATGAAATCAACAAAGGAACAAAGTCATATTGTTTAGACATACAAGGTCAAACAAGGGAAAAAAAGTCATATTTTACTCATATTGTTCAGACATACAAAGATGAATAAAGTCACAATATTCGGATATACAAAGCTAAACATTGTCATGTTGTTTGGCAATGTACAACCGAATAAATTGAATTTGTTTGAACTTTCAGAACCGAATAATAATGACCAAAAATAAGTGAATATTCACCTTCATGTAAAAAAAAAAAAAAATTGATAAAATGAAACCAAATGTTAAAATAATTAATTACAAACTAATATATAAATTTGAATGCAACGAAAATTGATAGATAAACTTAATCTCAATGGAAATTGCGAGAAACTAGATGTACATTTTTTTTACCTTAACCATGGAAAGATTGATTTGGGGAGATTTGATGAGGAAAAAAAAAGGAGGGAATTTTAAGAGAGAAATGTCCATCGTCGATTAGCAGAGTAAGAGGACCAAAAAAAATAAATAAAATAAAATAAAATAAAATTAAAATTAAAAATTATTGAAAGGTGCTGCAACATATAGAATCTCCTATTATATATTTGACATAAATAGCAACCTAGGTTGTTTGGTTTTTATATTGAAATTAATGCTTCTGTTGTGACTTGGAGAAGCTATAATGCTATTTATATGATTGTGAAAATTGAAAAATTTAACATTATAATGGGACATGTGAAAAAATACATAAATTAATAATTATATTTTGATTTTTATATGAATGCTTACCTCCTCTTTGATGGGTTGCTTCAAAATATTATCTTGATTATCACTTTCCTCTATTGTTTGATTGTTCAAACTTTCTTCTAGGTTTAGGGTTTCAAAATAATAAAAAAAAAACAATAATATTAATGATAATTGTGAGTTTCGGTAAGGTGGATTGGAGTTTTGCAGTGAGAAAGAAGAAGAAGAAGAAGACAAACTAACTTTGATTTATTGAGAAAGAAGATGTAGAGATTTGAATAGAAATAATAGATTAGGGTGTACCATGAGAAAAAAAGAAATTATTTTAGGGTTTAATATAAATTGTCCTTATTAGTAAATTCACATTAAAAATATAATTGGAATTAAAATTTATAAATTTAAATTGGGCGTACTAAGATATTTTTTGGGCTCAAATAGAATGCCCCTATCAATTTCAACACAGCCATATATCTCATTTCTCCCACATATATATTTCTTGTTCAATAACACTACAAACTTAGATTTATAAATTCAGAATATACCCAAAAAGAGAATCAATAGTTCAAATTCATGTTACTTATGACTCCACATTTTATCAATTTAATTTCTACCACACAAATACATTAAGGATAATTTATGAGTTAATAAAAGTGGATTTATAGTACTTTTGATTTCTTGCCACGAAACTCCATGATGAAAAAAACAAAAAATGAGATATATATGTTAGATTACCACAACACAATGATGTATAATGAGTCAACAATTACAATGATAATTAAATACATCATAAATCAAAATTACATATAAACTCACAAATTCAATAACTGAAACTGTAATTACTCAACCAATGCAACCAAAGGGGTAGATTTTATTGGAAAAACTTGGAAGAAACTTGTTTCCTTCAATAAGTTTATTTTGTAGAAACCTTACTTGCACAGAAATTATGTGCACAAAATGCATAGAATTTCTCATAAACAAAAGTCTTTTTTATAAGAGATTTTATGTATTCTGTGTACATACCGCTTTCCTTGATTTTATTCTTTCTTAGAAAGAGCGAGCAATGATGTGATAGAAGAAATGCCAGAGGTTCGGAATCCAATGAAAAGAAAACCAGCTAAGACATAGGTCTTGTTAAAGAAGTAATCTAACTTTGATCCGAGATCATTGCCTGAAAGCTTATTCAAAATATCCATAATTCTCTTCAGATCCTTAGTAACACCGAAATCTGGGCCAACCCCAGTTGCCAATATGAATGATATCACCTGCCCAAATTCACCTTCACACTTGTTAACTCATCTAATTGAAGATTATAATAAAAGAAACTAGCAATCAAAAATAAAAAGATAAAAAAAACCTAATACGAAGTGCAAAATAAGATCTTATATAGAATTATGCGGCTTTTTGTAGTTCATTCATTTCATGTCAAAGCACTCATCACCATGATTTACAATTACAAAAATTAAAAAAAATAAAAATATCACTGTCAAATTATTCTAGTTGAGTTTAAAAAAAATCATTTTTCTTAGTTACAAACACTTTAAACTCACTCACATTTGATTGTTAGATGATAGAGGTGGATTGTACTAATTATTCGTCGGATATATTTATCTCACATTTGATTGTAATAATGCCATACAATTCTCCCTTCTCTTATATGGCCCATTATATATCTTCCCTTTTTTTCAATTATAGTTTAGCCGCCTCTTATCATTTGAAAAAAAAAAAAAAAAAAAAAAAAAAAAAAAAACCCTAAATGGGCATTGAGGGTGATCCACTTTCTCTTTCCCCTTAGATTATGTTAATGTAAGTCCTAACAAATGACTCAAAAAAAAGTGATGAGATAAAAATGACGAATATTTTTTTTTCATTCATTTCACCAAGCTAATTTTTGAATTTTTATTTAGAAAACTGAAAACTCAACCAAACAAAGGTTGAATATATATAAAATAATGGGTGAATTACAATAATGGTCCCTATGTTTTGAGACTTGTGTCATTTTGATCCCTGACTTTCTAATTGTGACACATTTGACTATGGATTTTGAATATTGTTTCAAATAAGGACAATTACAAATACTATTGGATTTTTCAAGGGTAAAATCGTTAATTTAATAAAATATAAACTAATTTGACAAAAATAAATGTTAAAACATTATTTTTAACTTTTTTAAAATTATTTCTAGCTGTTAAAGATAAAATTATATAAAATTGATAACTCTTTTAGGCATTTATTTATTTTTTTTAGCAAATTAATTTTTATTATGTATTGAGATGATGATCATGTAAAATTAATTTTTAAAAATTAATCATGTAATTTTTATTAATTTTTATCAATTTTACATAATTTTATTTTTTGGTGGGTAGAAATAATTTTTAAAAATTTTTAAAATATTTTTTTGACATTTATTTTTGTCAAATTAGTTTATATTTTATCAAATTGACAATTTTACCCTTGAAATTAAGCAATAGTATGTTCAATTGTCCTTATTTGGGATAATATTCAAAATTGAGAGTCAAATGTGTCACAATTGAAAAGTCAGGGACCAAAGTGACACAAGCCCTAAGCTATAGGGACTAATAGTGTAATTTGTCCTAAAATAATTATTATTTTGGCCTCAACATCTATATAATTTTCTTTTCAAAATCTAAATAATTTCACCTTTTGCAACCATTTTGCAAAATTTCTAACCCTCCATAAAAATTTCATAAACAACGAGAAGTTTGGGAGGATATAATGCTAACTTTGTCTCCGTACAAGTCAAACTGGAGAATACCATAGTGGTTTACGAGACGTTTCCCTCACTATTAAAAATCGGATCTTTTGAGATGATTTTAAACGTCGCAAAAGGTCTACATGTTGTCCCAAAAGATTTTTTTGCGATAGAATAGCTACGGGAAATAAGGGGTAGCGGAAGGAGGGCATGACAAAAGATATTTGTGACGGTTACAAACCGTCAATGATTTTTTGCGATAGTTTAACCTGACACAAAAAAGCAGGGAAACAATCACTTTTAGCAACAGTTTTGGATGCCATCACCAAATTTTTTTTAGAGACGGTAGTTGACGTTGCAAAAAGTATTATTAGTGACGGTCTTAAACATTGTAAAAAAAAAATTAAATTAAATTAAATTAGTAATGTATTTGTGGCAGTTTAAACCGTCGCTAAAGATGACACTAATATGTATATGCGGCAGGTTAACCCGTCGCTAATGAAATGTAAGGAAATGATGATTACATTAGTGACATTTTATTATTGTTGCAAAATAATTATTTTCAAAAAATAAATATATATTTTATTAATTCATTCCATGTACAAATTATTAATATTTTCTAAAATAAAATACATCCATATCTACATTCACAAAATAATATATATGAATAATAATATATATGGAAACTGTATTAATATATACAAATAACTTTTTTTTTTTTTTTTCAAAAAAAAGGAAAAAAAATAAAAAAAAAAAAAAAAAAAAAGAATACAACAGATCATTAAAAAAAAAAGTAATAATATTAATTTTTTTTTTTTTTTTAATTCAAGAGCTCAAATTTGTATCTAAAACAAAACAAAAGTATCAACAATACAAATAAAAATATATATATATATTACAGCTTGTTTTAGTGTCTACAGTAAGTTCCAATATCGATATGTGAAGATCTCATCACGTACTTAAAAAGGTAGCATCTGCAAAAAGAAACAAAAAAATAATAATTATTTATAATATAATTAATTTTAAGCTTACAAAAAAATGTAAAACATTTAATATTTATTTTAAAAAATAAATAAATAAGATTGTAACATATACATAAATCGAGCGCTACGCAATGTATCTTCCAACAGATTCTCCAACTATTCTTAGACCTCTGGATAGCGTTTCTAGATGAGCATTCGATTTCGAGTCTTGTCTTTTCCTGCAAGTCATTTGTGGCTAGTTAGTCATGTATGTTAAGTTTCGTTGACATCCGACGCCGTTTAAGCATTTTATTATGTCAACAGGTTCGGAAAAAGAGTTTCTTAAGAATAAGTTTTCACAAACAGAAATTAGGCTTCAGATTCAAAATCGAGAATCGGTTTCGAGTCCTGTCTTTTCCTACAAGTCATTTGTGCCTAGTTAGCCATGTGTGTCATGTTTCGTTGACATCTGACGTCATTTGAGCATTTTAGACTATCAATCGGTTTAGAAAACGAGTTCATTAAGGACAAGTTTTCACAAACAAAAATTAGACTCCAGATTCAAAATCGGGAATCGATTTCGAGTCCTGCCTTTTCCTACAAGTCATTTGTGCTTAGTTTGTCATGTGTGTCAAGTTTTGTTGAGATCCAATGCCGTTTGACTGTCAACCAAATCTGAAAAAACAATTTCTTAAAGACAAGTTTTCACATGAAAATTAGACTTTAGATTCAAAATTGGGAATCGATTTTGAGTCCCATCTTTTCTACTCTTTTCCCCCTATTTCTAACCTTTTTCCTTTTTATTAATAATATTCTCTTTGTTGATAAATCAAATCTATTTTCTAACTCTACGTTATTTATTTATTGAATGTGGTAGGAATATAGCGCCTAATCCCAGACACCACTGTACCTATGATGATTTGACAAATATGTTTCACGTACATAGGTGTCTATTGCATTTGGACACACTTTAGGAAAGCTTTGCAGGTGTCTTTATAATTTTAGAAAGCTAATTTGAGTTAATAAAATATATAGAAACAGGGAGGGGAAAATGGAAAAACAAAAATACACCCACAAATATCTATGCATTTTGTCTCTACAACCTATATTTATGTAACGCTCCGAAAATTGGGCAGAGTATATCTATTTATGCTACAAAACCCACCTGATAGGCAAACACATATATATAGCTAACTATTCCATACATCCGTTTCCATTAAATCCAAAATGCCAAATACATGCTATTCACATCACAATGCCCTAGTTCCAATCCCAAGCATACATTTTATAACAAGAATGAAATAGAAGCCAAACAAATAATAAGTGCCTTTCAGGTTTATAAATTTATCCAAGAACATTCTTGGTTACACAAAATAGAGTTTCAATTCAACGCAAATACAGCCCTGGGCATACATTCAACAAATAACAATAAAACAAAAATGAAGCCTCAGCTCTGAGTCCTCCCAAGTCATTACCTTGGCGGAGGCATAGCACCTATACTTGAAATGGTTTCTTTTATAGGGTGAGCCATAGCCCAGTAGAGATATACTACACAATATATGAACCATGACAAGACTAAAGAGGAGTATGCTCATGCCATGCTCATGATAAAACAATTTATCTCTCTTTTTATAAAGTATGCAATGTTGAGTTGCAACAACAGATATAAAACCATTTCCATTTTAAACCATATCTGTTTCATGAATACAGGCTCTGTGAATCTCTAGGTGAGTGTCTGCAAGTAGGCTCTAATGCACTACCATTGTCATTTTTACCAGTAAACTGGAAGGTTCGACACCTAACCGCGCAGTTTTACACCCCCTACCCAGATTCACCAAGTATTCATCTTTTCGCAAATAGATACATTTCCAAACATTTCTCAAAAACAGATACATTTCCATTGAAACAGATGTAATGAAATGTCCAATGCAACAAATGAGGAATGTGGTTCAATTTACCTAAGTCTCATGCATTTCTACAACAATCATGGCTATCCTCTGACTGTCAACCAAATCTAAAAAAACAATTTCTTAAAGACAAGTTTTCACATGAAAATTAGACTTTAGATTCAAAATTGGGAATCGGTTTTGAGTCCCATCTTTTCTACTCTTTTCCCCCTGTTTCTACCCTTTTTCCTTTTTATTAATAATATTCTCTTTGTTGATAAATCAAATCTATTTTCTAACTCAACGTTATTTATTTATTGAATGTGGTAGGAATATAGCGCCTAATCCCAGACACCACTGTACCTATGATGATTTGACAAATATGTTTCACGTACATAGGTGTCTATTGCATTTGGACACACTTTAGGAAAGCTTTGCAGGTGTCTTTATAATTTTAGAAAGCTAATTTGACTTAATAAAATATATAGAAACAGGGAGGGGAAAATGGAAAAACAAAAATACACCCACAAATATCTATGCATTTTGTCTCTACAACCTATATTTATGTAACGCCCCGAAAATTGGGCAGGGTATATCTATTTATGCTACAAAACCCACCTGATAGGCAAACACACACACACACACATATATATATATATAGCTAACTATTCCATACATCCATTTCCATTAAATCCAAAATGCCAAATACATGCTATTCACATCACAATGCCCTAGTTCCAATCCCAAGCATACATTTTACAACAAGTATGAAATGGAAGCCTAACAGATAGTAGGTGCCCTACAGGCTTACAAATTTATCCAAGAACATTCTTGGTTACACAAAATAGAGTTTCAACTCAACGCAAATACAGCCCTAGGCATACATTCAACAAATAACAATAAAACAAAAATAAAGCCTCAGCTCCGAGTCCTCCCAAGTCATTGCCTTGGTGGAGGCATAGCACCTATACTTGAAATGGTTTCCTTTATAGGGTGAGCCATAGCCCAGTAGAGATATACTATACAATATATGAATCATGACAAGACTAAAGAGGAGTATGCTCATGCCATGCTCATGACAAAACAATTTATCTCTCTTTTTATAAAGCATGCAATGCTGAGTTGCAACAACAGATATAAAACCATTTCCATTTTAAACCATATCTGTTACATGAATACAGGCTCTGTGAATCTCTAGGTGAGTGTCTGCAAGTAGGCTCTAATGCACTACCATTGTCATTTTTACCAGTAAACTGGAAGGTTCGACACCTAACCGCGCAGTTTTACACCCCCTACCCAGATTCACCAAGTATTCATCTTTTCGCAAATAGATACATTTCCAAACATTTCTCAAAAACAGATACATTTCCATTGAAACTGATGTAATGAAATGTCCAATGCAACAAATGAGGAATGTGGTTCAATTTACCTAAGTCTCATGCATTTCTACAACAATCATGGCTATCCTCCACCGATAGCCCAAAACAGATATTTCTAAACAGATATTTAAACAATTAAATTTCAAAAAAAAAATTCCAATAAATACAATCTATTCCACATCTCATCAAATATGAACAACTACACTAGTTTTTATATCACAATCACGTTCGGTAATCTCTCAAGGTCCATTTCTAACCGTGTCGGTTTTATTCCAACAAATACATTAAGCAAAATAATACCGTTAATGCCCAAGAAAACATCATTTTCTTTCCAAACTCATTCTCCTAGCATTATTCAACAATGACATTCTATTTTGATTAAAAGCCCCAAAAGTTAAACGTAATTCATTTGTTTTCTTTAAATATACTCTTTTGGTCGCAAAACAGTAAAAATTTCAAAGCCGATTAAGACGAAGTTCGTTTTTGTTCAAATTTAAAACATAGCTCTTTCATAACCTTACAAACATATTCCAAGTTTATACTTTCGCAATTTGGGCATCAAATTTTTATTTTTCTCAAAATTTCCCTTTTAAGCAAATAAATCACAAATTTTCCAAAAATTCTAATTAAATTATATACAACTCTAAGCTCCCTATAATCAAGTAAAATTGTATAAAGAAGTGTAGGAAAAATCCCTACTTCAAGCCAAGAAGCTTTCAAATTTTTGGCAACATAAATTAAATTTTCTTGGAGCCAAACGACGCCTTTTCCGCCATCTACGTTTTGATCCAAAGCACTAGGGGTCAAAAATGACTTACACTAGATCAAACCCATGAAAAGCCAACTTAGAACTCTTTTTCTTTCTTTTCTCCACGGCAAGAACTAGGAAAGAACACCCAAAGTATAAAAAAAGAGTAATGCTACATATCATGAAGTAAATATCATGAAAAATTACATGAAACTAATCTAATGGTGAATGCATAACATACAACAAAACACTACAAACACTATAATCTAATCAATGGTGGAGAATCTTCATAAAGACTTTTCATGACATTATTTTCATGATACCTAGCATTATTGTTAAAAAAATATCTATTAAGTTCTATTTATAGATATTTGCCTTTCTTTGACTAAACAAATATATAACTATACAAATATCTAACCATATATATATATACACCTGTATATATACATTTCAACATCTTTAATAATAAAAGTAGACATAATATTTTCTCACCACAAAATATATTTCGTTTAATGGTATACACTATAAATATTCACAACTCTTTTATGGTAATCAAATAATAATAATAAAACCGCAACAATATTTCATGGTTACTAACAAGTCACGATTCAATCAATTGGGTCCAAAATGAATTTATTTTAATAATTTAAAATAAATTCTCAACTGAGATTAAAGTATAAATTCAATTTGATTCAACTCGTTACAATTTATATATTTATATACATAACAAATAAAAATATATAGAAAACATTTTATTTGACATCTTTTTTTTTTTTTTTTTTTTTTTTTTTTTTTTTCAAAATTGCTATGTCATATGCTAGTGTCTGTGTTTTTTTTATTGCTTTCGTTGATAGGGGTTGGTATGGATGCTGTGAGGGACGAGCTTGATTGAAAAAATGTGGCTGAGGTGATTCAAAAAGTGGTGGTTGAAGATGGTGGAGAGGCAGTGAGGAACAAAGCAACGGAGTTGAGTGAAATCCTAAGTATCAAAGGGGAGGAGGATATAGATGGGGTGGTGGAGGAGTTGGAGAGACTTCATAGCCAGAAAAATAGACAAGAGTAATCGGTTGGCACTATTAGAATTCAAATTTAGATGTTTCTTCAGTTTTTAGTCAGGTTATATTAGTTTCCATAGTTAGTATTTAGTTTTTAGGTCAAGTGGTTGCATATTTACGTGTCATTCTCTAATTGAAAAGGCACATCATATGTGATATAAGTCAGAGCTATTAATTTTTTTTTTCTTCCTAGATATGATTAGGCTTTAACGAATAAAAAGGTGTCAAGAATTGTCAATCTTGTTTATCTTGCATGCCCAAATATTTATCTTTTTGTTATTGATTTTGACTTTATTTATTTATTTTTATTGATTTGGTAAATAGCACTTCTGCCATAAGGGTTGTGAATTATATAAACACATGTATGTGAAATTTGGTAAATAAATTAAATCAATATGCCAAGTACAAATTAATTTCCAACAACACAATTATTTTATTCTCACTACTAATTTCTTTGTTTTCTACTTTTTGTTTTGGATTGTATATTGTTAGATTTCAGCCTTCTTTTACTTATCACAAACTTGTTAAATCTTGGTAATAGCTAATAGTCATGATGGTGTGGATGCCAGGCCTAACGGTCAAAAACGTAATGGCTTCAACTATGGCCATTAAGTATAATCATGAAAAAAATATCATGAAATACTTCATGAAATTTTTTTATCCTTTGATTAGTGTGTGGTATTTTCTTGTATGTGTAATCTAACGGTGAAGAATCTTTCATGATCATTTTCATGATATTTTTTTATGATACCTAATGTTACTCTTAAGTATATAGCTCGCTATATTAGTGCTAAAGGATTTGATGTCTGAAACACCATTATGGAAGTTGTTATTTTGTGTAATAGTGGTGTGATGGTGTGCTACACCACCATTGCACACCACTATGATCAAATACCAAGTTCTAAATCTTTGATATTCATCCACAGTGACTCACAAAACCACCAATGCTTGGGTGCAGCAAAATCTTCACTTGAAAAGCCCAGCCTTCCACCACCATGACTCTCTCTCCTACCCTCTTAATGAACCCTCTAGGCATTGCCTTCTCAACACTTGTATTTGCTCCCATTGCAAACCTCACAACCCATAACAAATTAACACCAGAAAGCTCCAACCCATAAGCTATGTCTTCAATCTCATCGTTTGATAGAAAATACTCAGTGCCAAAACAAACAAACACCGTGGACCGTCGCTCCTTCTTGTTCAGCCATCCAATAATCTCGCTCTCGTCGTTTTCGTCGACACAGTCTTAGACAAGAGGGATAGGCACAATCTTCTTTCCCAACCAAACCAGAGTGACAATCAATGTACTTACCTCCACCTTCTTTAAAATTTTTGATCAAAACAATCTCCGATGATCGATCAAGGCACTCAAAACAGCGAGTCTTGTCCTTGTCGAGGTTTTTCAAAGGATTGAGCAAATGGGATACTTCTACCTTCTCATAATCACGAAGATAAATTGATGAAAAAGGAAAAGTGATAAGTAGGTCTTTATAGAGGTGGTGCATGAAGGCGGTCATGGTGGCGCTGCTAGTGACGAAGTCCACTGCCGGAATACCATACTCAGCAGGGACCACTAGAGCCCAAGGATGAAGAAAATCATAGATGAGGAGGTCTGGTTTGTGGGTTTTGAGGAGGAGGGAGAAGTTGGGTTCGACAAAGTCGAAGGCCTTTTTGAGGGTGGGCATGAAGTGGGGAGGGAGGTCTTTGGTGGTGTGGTACGACGGAGGAAGGTCAGGCAATGGTGGTACATGGAGTTCAATTAGTTGGATTGAGTTTGAGTACTTTTCAGAGAGTTTTCTTTGTTAGGGTGACAAGGTATATTCGATAAGAACTTGGGCAAGCTAGGAAGGGAATTATAGAAGAAGATAAGGTAGAAATGCAAATATAAGAAAACTTCTTCATATTATGTTGAGTACAAGTCAAGATTCTTGCATACATACATTTACAATTGGCTCATGACTTTATATAGAGAACATCATCATCTTAACCTCTTCTAGAAAGGTTCTAGAAAGGTTTGATATTTTCCAACATCATTATTATACATTTCTAGATATTTCTATCATTATTAAATATCTAGATAGATTATTTCAATCTACTAGATATTTCTAAATGTCTTCATAAATTATTCATTAACTACTCTAGATTTTTTTAGATAAATATGTTCATAAATTATTCATTAACTACTCTAGATTTTTCTAGATAAATATCTTAATAAATTATTCATTAACTACTCTAGATTTTTATAGATTACAAATTATATTTGAACACCCCCACTTAATTTGTAATCTTCATGCATTCTTGAAACTGTAAGAATTTTTCTGTTGGCACTTCTTTTGTCATGATATCTGCCAATTGCTCCTTTGTTTTGACGAACTCCAATTGGATTTCACCTTTCTGTACACTGTCTCGAATAAAATGATGTCGTAGTTCAATATGCTTTGTCTTGCCATGGAATACTGGATTTTTGCTCATTGTAATGGCTGACATGCTATCACCAAAAATTGTAGTGGAACCTTTCTCTTTGTGCTCCATATCTGAGAGAATTCTTCTAAGCCAGACTGCTTCACAAGTTGCATCTGTAGCTGCAATATATTCTGTTTCTGCTGATGATAGAGCTACAGTCTTCTGCTTCTTGGAACTCCAAGAGATAATTTTTGAGCCAATACAAAATACATAACCTGATGTACTCTTTCAATCATCCAATGATCCAAAATACATAACCTGATGTACTATTATTTTCTTTCACATACCTGATACCGAGATTCTTGGTCCCTTGAAGATACCGAAGAATTCACTTTGCTGCTGCATAGTGTAGCTTGTTGGGCTCATGCATAAATCTGGAAATAAGATTTACAGAGTGGCCTTGTATTAGTGAGATAATTTAGTGAACCAACCAATTTTTGATAGGCGGTAGCATCAAATTTCTCTGCTCCATCATTTACTTGCAACTTCACATTTAAAGAGGTTGGAGTAGAAATTGATTTGCAATCAGACATATGAAATTTCTTCAATAAATCTTCAAGATATTTTCCTTGAGAGATAAATATTTCTCCTTTTGACTACTTCACTTAAATTTTGAGAAAATATCTCATAAGTCCCAAATCAGTCATCTCGTACTCTTTCATCATGGCTCTTTTAAATTCTTCTACCATTGATGGTTTAGTTCATGTATAGATTAAATCATCAGCATATAGGCAAACTATGAGAAAGTCTTGCGTACCTCCTTTCTTGATGTATAGTGATGGTTCACTTTGGCTTCTTTGAAAACCATTTTGACAAAAATACTTGTCAATGTTGCTATTCTAGGTTCGGGGTGCTTGCTTTAGTCCATACAGTGCCTTCCAAAGTCGTAAACCTTGTCTTGTTTTCCTGTGATTATGTATCCTTGCGGTTGTTCAACATAAACTTCTTCTTCAAGCTCTCCATTGAGAAAAGCTGATTTGACATCTAGCTGATATACTGGTAGCTCATTTTGTGCAGCCAAGGCAAGAACGGTTCTTATTGTCACCATGTGAGCAACTGGATCAAATGTTTCATTGAAGTCTACTCTAGGTTGTTGTGAGTAGCCTTTTGCAACTAAACGAGCCTTATGCTTCTGGATGGAGCCATCTTCTCTATATTTGGTCTTACAGACCCATTTAAGTCCGATCACATCTTTGTCTTTGGGTAGGTCAACAAGATCCCAAGTGTAATTCTTTTCAATAGTTTCAATTTCTTCATCCATTACCTTTCTCCAAATTTCTTCTTTCACAGCTTCTTCAAAAATCTGTGGCTTACAAGCAAAAAGTGCTACATCACAAGGTTCATATATTTCTCTTAAGAAACGTACCTTTCTTGGTATTGTTTCAGATTCTTCAGATGAAGAGCTTCTTGGAGAGTCATTTCTTGGCCTTGGGCTTGGAGTGTTACATGGGCTTTGGTTTGGGCTTGCTTGGTGAGTTAAAGATCCTTCTCCTTCTATTGTTTCATTAAATTCAATTTCCTTCTGCTCTAGGATGGAGTTATCATTCCATTTCCATGCTGTCATTTCATCAAATATGACATCTCTAGAGATTACCAATTCATTTTTCATTAGATTGAACAGACGATATCCTTTTGATTTGTCGCTATATCCAATGAATATATATTTCTTTCCTTTCTCATCATATTTTTCCCTTTTTTGGGAAGGAATTAAGGCATAAGCAAGACAACCGAATACTTTGAAAAGATTTACCTGGGGCTTTTGTTTGTGCTATGCCTCATATGGTGTTTTGTTTTGGACAGCCTTCGTGAGAGATCGCTTTGGAATATAAACAGCAGTATTGACAGCTTCAGCCCAAAATTTGTTAGGAAGACCTTTGCCTTTTAGCATGCTTCGTGCTTGTGGAGAAGTGGTTCGGAAATACTCTTCGGATCTTGGGAGACGCTAGTGATGCTCAGCTAGTCACCTGAAAAGATACAAACACTCCGGTCGGGGGTGCCGGAATTAGCACTCCGACGGACAAGTTAGTTCAAATACTCAGGGTAGCTTCTTTACTAAGTTTTGTCAAGTGATTTTTACATACCTTTCTAAATCTATGGTTCTTGTATTTATACTTGCTTTTTGGGCCTCGGGGCTTGAGCCTACTTTTATCCCATTCCTCTTTTATTCATTCAGAGCCACTGACCTCCGTCTATTCGGCCTTATTAACGTATTCGGTGTCCTAGTCACGCAACATAAAGCCGGATAGTATTTAATTTCTAGAGTACGCATCTTCCGACTCTTCTACTTATTCGGCTCCCACGATTGCCCCCCAAGCACTCCACCGATGACAGTTGGCTGGAGTGTTTGGTTTTGAATTCCTAAAAGTCGGAGCCAAAATTCGGCGGTTGGCCTCATCCTCATCCGGATATCTAAGCGCACCCCTTTCGGTTGTCGTGTCGACTTCCCGTCCCCCTCGTACGTGTCTATTTATTGAGATTTAAAATTTCGAGATCCTTTCAAGTATGTATTTTGTGGTGCTCATCGCTAGATTGCCTTTTGGATCGTCCCTGAAACTCTCTTCTCCGATATCTTCTTCGTCCTTTGTAAGTTCTCTCATCTCTTGCTTCAAGGACTCTTTCTGGTTTATTCCTTCCTTGGCATATTCTCATAGACTGTAGGGTATGGAGAAACATTTAAAAGACCTCCTCTCGTTAGATCGTATTGCTGGCTTTAAACGCCATTTCTCTATTCCTGATGATGCCCGTCTGTCGCTTGTGGCAGACGTCACTCTTGATATGGAGAGGGGGGACGAAACCACGATTGTCTTTCCTCTTTTGTCAATCGCAGAGGGTGGAGTCCGTTTCCCCCTTCACCTGTTTCTCAGGGCTGTGCTTCGCCATTGGGGTTTAATTCCTTCCCAGCCTAATAATGGGGGTTATAGCGCTCAACCGTTGCCTAAGAATTAACCTTGGCATTCTAGCCATTCGGCATTGTTATGCCTTGGCTAAGTCTTCTGGTCGGTACGGGCGTTTCTTCCTTAGGGCCAAGGATATCGACCATCAGCTGATTATTATGCTTTCTAGTTCTGAAAAATGAGTTGATGATGTTATGGTCGTTGTCCAGGGTAACTGGAAATTTCGCGAAGGGAAGGATCACGTTGACCCTATTCCTAGACGGAGGGGCGAGCCAAGTGGCTGATTGCTTTCTCGCTTTTATTATTTGTTCATTTTTGTTGTAAAGCTTCTTCTTTGAAATGTTACGGCTTGGCTTGTGCATGGAGAAATTTTAAGAAAGTTCTGTCTTCAACTGACGGCGCCGTTCTTTCGGATATCGAAGTCGCGCTCAAATATTTCGGCCGTCGAAGTCTTTAGAAACAAGGTAGGGCAGCCCACATTCTGCTTCGTTATGAGCTGACATATACGACCTTCTCGGCGACGGAAAATATCCCGGTTCTGGAGGGTGAAGACTTTCTCATCGCTCTTATTTTGTCCGACTTCAAAAACTTGAGGCAGGTTGGTTTTGAAGGGTCGGATTCAGAGCGGGGTGTAGCTAATGTTACCGAATCAGATCAGTCCAAAATCAAGTTTGACGCGGTATTGAATTCGGCCGATCCCCCATCCACTTCGGGCCGAGGGGATCTTTTGCTTGACGACGTTTTTCACGGCTTAGAGGATATTCTCGCCGCAAACCCCGAAAACATGGTTGGGTTAAGCCTGACAAAACTTACCAGGAAGGCGAATACGGAAAGGTTAGCCGCGCGGTGAAGAGCGGAGGCCCTTCCGCCTGAAGTACCACTCGCCACCGAATCTCAATTCTCCCTGCTTGTTAGCGAATCAGAGTCTTTGCGCGTTATTAAGGTGGAGACGGCGAAAAATCGGGATGTTGAATCTACTTTGATTGTGCAGGCCGGCCAAGAAGTTGAAACAGAGAAATGACCTGCCGAGTTTGAAGCCGGCGTAGAAGAACATGGCGGCAAACGTCCTTGATTAGAGGGATCGGACGTGATCGTTCCTTTTGTCATTCAGCCGATGATAAAAAACATGCCGGTTTCTTCTGATGCTTCGGCGCTTAAAGATCCAGAAATCGCATTTAGCTTGGCTACGTCCGTGTTGTTGCCGTCTGACAATGAGGCTTTCCGGGTGGAAACGGATCTGAATGCGACAGCATTAGCCGCCCAATCGGCACTTTTGGTACATATTCGAACTGAGCTTCACTTAATCCAAATACTGTTGAAGTTATGGT